ATTTCAAATGAGTTTCAGCTGATTTAACTCACGCTTTTTCCCCCTTGAGTGTAGTCTAGTAGTACATGGAACAACCTTCTGATGAAGCATTAGAGAATTCATAGCAAAGTATATGATCTAGAGAGGTCTGTCATATGAATATGATTAATGTCCAAAGTTCTATTGGTCTGAATAATCATTATTCAATTTTCCGATAAGAAAATTTTTCTCATTTTTGTTTTAAAATTCTCATTCTTTCCAGAGGAATTGGAGCGGCAAAAATTTTTTTTTTTTCATTTTTCGGAAGAACTCTATTTATGCCATTCATTTTAATATGAAGTTCTAATTTTTCCAAGACGAAAATTTCCATGAATAAATGACACTGCATTCGTTGATACTGTTTACCAAGCTACTTGCAGTATAAGTCTCATATCGCTTCGAGGATGAACTTTTTCTTTCAATATTTTTACGACTTTATAGAGAATCAAAAGTTACATAATACATCAAAACTTCAGCTTGATATCTTTTGATTTAAAAATTATAAATACTCAAATCATGATCTTTTCCATTCTTGTTCGACTATATAACAACTCCAGTTAATAGATAATATTTAATATTTTAAATAACTCATTTTCTTCAGTTAAAAAAAATCAAAAAGTCAAATATTGACCAATGTCTCATTATAGTGAAATGATTTTCGATATTCATACGAAGACTCTCTTAAATTCATAATATGATTAATGAAATAAATCTTTCTATCTTCAGGTTATATCATCATCAATGAAATACAATTTCATTCTTCAATCATCTTTACCAGGTTCATCATGGATTAGTCTAAGTTATCGAATGAAAATACCTATACCAAAATCGACTCTATTATGTACAACATATATTCGTTATTTATCACATTATCATTCTTAAACATGGTCAAATATAGCATTATTTCCACCTAATATTCAACAAGATCAAATTGATTCTCGTTCAATAGTTAATTTTAATTGTGCATCCCAAAGTTTTTCATGTTCATTTTTTACTGAAAGTTTACCATCAACACAATCATTTACAACGCCAACATCACAAGAACAACAACAAATATACGACCACGTTTATCAATTGCACCAACAACATCTCCAATAGGTTCATCAAATGTAATTGCAACTGAAAAAGAAATATGTCTTAGATTTATTGGAGCATTTAATATACTTTTAACACCACTTATGCTTGAATATTTAACAATATATATTGAAAAATTGAAAACATATGATATACATCCAATATTAATTCTTGATGGTCTTCATTTTCAAGCTCAAACACAATCAAATCTATCAATACCATTAAAAACACCAATTGTTTTATCAACAACAAAAATATCTTTACAATTACTAAAAATAAATGTTTATTTATTACAAACTGGTTTAGCTGAAGATAATGTTCAATTAACTGAATTATGAACACTATTTGATATCGTAACAATGTCATTATTTGTATTATCATGTAAACAAATACAAATGGAAACAATTTTATCTAAACATGATCAATCCACAGCTGGTGTTTTTAAAATTGAATCTATAACAAGACAATTTCGTCGATTTGAAAATGATTTTTCTTCTATTGGAAATGTTAATATATAGAGTGTCCCAAAAGTCTGGACGGAAAGTTAATCTAAATATATCTTATATAACTCAAGCAATTTAATTGATTTTTTTATAATATACTAATATGTCCTTTAAAATTTTATTTCACATCATTCAGTTTATAACAAATGTTCAAAATGGTTATGCCAAACTGAAATACATAAATCTATCGTTTTCGAAATCGTTTAAAAGATATTCTAGGAAATTTCTTTTCGAATAAATTTCTTTTCTGTATCGGTGCTTATTTTGAATGTAACTAAATCTTTATATATATATATATATATATTATACACCTATGTGTTCACTTTATATTTATCACTAAGCCATTTAAATGAAAAGAGTCTTTGTCTGAAAAAAAA